CCCAGTTAAAATATCCAATCACAAACAGGTATTATTTGCAGTCCATTTAGGATCATATTACATCTGCTCTGCCCTTAATGTTAAACACAATCAACCTGCTAGAAAATGGCCTTACTTGATGGATGGTTACTTGTTTTGGCCTAATTACCCCAATTTAGAGTTCAGTTAAGTAATTTTCATATTCTTTATATGTTTTGTATTGCTCAATATATGTTAATATAGCCAACTGTCAGTTGAAAAGTATATTCCAAAGAGATTTAGAGTAAAAAACAAATATTTACTTACCGGAACCTAATTAATGTTGCTGTGTGGCTGGCTGTGATATGTTCACTACACTGTTCTTGAATCTGTTTGAAACAGTGACATACTCCACTTGTTATTTGTTCTACAATTACATCAAGATCAAATATCACATATTTATTGCATAAACATTGTGATGAAACTAAATGACCCATCAAGACTTACAGCCTTATTTGTTTGTTTGAAAACTTCGCTGGTGATGTCATTGAATGACTCCTTATATTCCAGATCCATGGTGACTGTTAAGATCCTCACTGGAACAGAAACAGTTGTTATCACGAAGAAGCAACTTCATTAGATAAACACAACTTAATTCATACATTTTATATGGAATACCATTGGGTGAATTTGTCGTTGTTGTCACTGGTGTTGTGGTCTTTAGTGTTGTTGTTGTCGTCATTGGCGTTGTTGTTGACGTCATTGGTGTTGTTGTTGTGGTCATTAGTGTTGTTGTTGTTGTTGTCATAAGTGTTCTTGTTGTAATTGATGTCCCTGTAAAAAAAGGGAAAAAATTAACACAGTAAAAAAAAGACAATTGCATCAATAATGAGGTTTTGTGACACACTGACGGATGGGATGCGCAAGTCAATGACAATGTCAATTTCCACTGCGGGTCTGTGGAGGAGAACAGACAAATATCACTTTTCACTATGTGCAGTCATCATGACAAGAATTATGTTGTTCTTTTACCCACGTGCATTATTTAATCAAACCTTTCAGCTGACCCTTTGGATTTAAACTGAAACTTGAAATGGTTTATGTCGGGAGAACGGCAACCTTTAAACTTGACCTTGTTCATTTGGTGAGATTTCACCTGACTTTTATTGTGACAGGTCACTTCCTGTGAGCCTAAAGGCAAACATATATTTCCAAACCACTGAAATAGATGTGAGCTTTATCTTCAAAAGATATTTCAAAAGCTTTACAATTTTCTTGATTTTACAGTGCCAGTGCAAATCTTCAGAAACACGCACACAGATTCTGACATATATGTGTCGTACGTTTGGGGAGAGGGTGTATTGGTGATGTTTAGCTCTATGAGGTAAAAAATTAAAAAATAAAAAACAGAAAACAAAATCAATAGTATCTAACTTTTGTAATATTTAGATGTCTGTTAGTTGCTTAATGAAAATATACATCTTCTGAACCTCAAGAAAAAATGAATCTATTCTATTTTAGGCATACAAACAAAAGGCACTTGTCTTCACACCAGAGAATCTTTTTAGGACATGAACCTGGAACCACGTTAATCTT